CCATGGCGTGCAGCAACTACACAGAGACAAGACGAGCTTTCGCACCCCTTTCTCACGCGCGACACCTCGACACCACGAGGAGGATCCGTCTTTTTTCGGGGGCTTCGCCGCCCGAAGTCCTCGGATGATGCCTCGAGGGTTAGATAGAAGCAAGGAGAGAGAGAGAGAGTAAGAGAGACAGACAGAGAGAGAGAGAGAGAGAGAGAGAGAGAGAGAGAGAGAGAGAGAGAGAGAGAGAGAGAGAGAGAAGTCTCTCCACTCAAGAAGACGGTAGCAGCCGCGACCAGTTGGCGGCTACCCGCTTTTCGTGTTGCGGAAAATTGATTTCTCCGGGATGGAGGCGCCCCTTGGAGGTTTTTCTCACTTCCACCATGGGAAAGGCGAATCTCATCTGTGCGGGCGCGGAAGAACGATGGATAGACTGAGGACACGCCGCGGAGATCAATGTCGATATGGTCCGTTAATTCTCGCAGGAAGAAGACACGAACATCCCTCTCTCTCTCTCTCTCTCTCTCTCTCTCTCTCTCTCTCTCCTCCTGATCGCTTCATCCGTTCGTGCGATTGTAGCATCGCTCTCTCGCGACGTTTCTAATTTATGTTCGGCCGAAAGGGCCGAGAGAGAGAGAGAGAGAGAGAGAGAGAGAGAGAGAGAGAGAGAGAGAGAGAGAGAGAGAGAGAGAGAGAGAGAGAGACACGAGCAGAGCGTGAAAGTCAGTTAGTGATTTTGAGCCCCTCGCGGAGAGCGCGAGCGCGTCGGGATACTCGGTAATGGCTCGCGCAGTTTGTATGGAAATTTACCGGTCGGAAAATGACCGTGTCGAAAGGCTCGACGAACGGGGCTTCTTCATTGGCGTAACGTATCTCGCACTCTTTGGTCTCTTCCCAGCGACAGACGTGTTAGCAAATTATCGGTGCCGGCGTAATCACGCCGAAGAGCGTGGTACGAGGGTTAGTTAGTCCGACCGTTAACAAGTCCACAACGTGCGTCGGTCAGGGTAAGCGGTGCGCGTCGCGCTGTAATCACAGCTGTGATCTCGCGTTGCAGCAATCTGTGCGGGATGTTCTAAGCGCAACTTGATTATTACGGATATCAGGTTGGGGATCTTGTCAACTCTGCCGGATGTCGGATTGCGAATGTTGAGACGCTGCGAGAAGCTCACGCGAGGCGCAGAGTGCACTCCGGCTGTCTGTCGAAGACGTTTGATATTTTAAACACCGCAACTTGGAGGGCAATGTTAAGAATTATCAGGTCGAGTTCGGGTCAGTCTCACGACGAGTTGCCACGAGTTGAAGTCTCGCGTTCTTCGAGGCGAGGCAATGCTGAATCTGTGGAACAGACCGGAGTACGATCGACTTGTATAAAACACGAGTAGACGAGACAGAATACGGAGCGATAACCGCGTGTTCTCGTTTACGTACACGTTTCGGCACGGGTAAACGATGCGAGCGAAGGAACAATGAGGCGCTACTTCCTTAATTAGCCCGCGGGGGGTAACTGTGTCTCGTGTTACGTAAGCGACCCCGCGCAATTTTGTGCAATACGTTTGAACGCACAAGTTCGTATCGACCTCGTGAAACTGGATCGTTGCCGTTGCAAATTAAGACGCGATTACCGCGTGGAAATAACGTTCTCGCGCGAAATAAATTCAAGGTCGGAGGTAACCACCCGTGGAATACCGACTACCGAGCTATCAGCAGGAGGGGAAGAGCAAACGGCCGTTCTGTATACGTGAGGCTCTCCCAGGGAAAACGCTGTGGGATCTCCGAGAAAAGTGTCGAGTTGCGCCCGCATACGCGACACCCTCTTCTCGGATACATCCAACGGCCTTAACAATCGTTCCACCGCCGAGGGTTCGCCACGCTGGGAAAGCAAAGAAGTGCAACGTTTGCGCGTAGCCGCGTGCGTGTCTCACCACCGTGCGGAAAACGCGACTCCGTTTGGTGTAACTGAACGATCTTCTGCCGTCTCTGGGAGAAATAGAGACTGAATTAGAAAGGAAAATAAAAAAAAACTCCGTGTGGTCTAATTTCGATCCAATTAATCCAATTATTTACAATCGAGTTTTAAGGGCTTTTCCAACCGTGGTAACATCACTCCCTTTCTGGCTCCTCTACTGAATCTCGAGTGAAGCTAAACTGAGAAAAAGTAAACTTTACGTTCGTATGACGGAGTAAATAAGACTGCAATTTCGATACGAATCATTCCTAGTACGATCTCCTTCTAGTGGTCGGCGAGGTTATTTCAATCAACCGACGTTTTCGAGCCGCCATGTGAACGATACAGCTCGAATACTCGCCTTCAATACGCGCCCGTATTGATCGTTTCGGCTGAACAATCGGCTGCCGATCGCAGACACTTGTCGCAGAAAGCCTCAGGCTCCAGCCAGCTGTCCTGCTCCGATGTCCTGCCGCCACGTGAGAGCTCCGCGGGAGCCACGCGCCATTGTTTCCCCCGGCATAATGCACTCGTTTTGTGCGCGCGAAGAAAAACGGCGAATCGACTCGGTCGCACGATCGATCGACTCTGCCGGCGAAGGAGAAAAGCCCCCCTCCCCCCCCCCCTCCCCGCGCACACATCGGTACGAACGTGGATCGGTTCGAATGCGCCGCGAATTGCGCCAGCGACGAAAGACCGCCTTACATCACGCTAAATTGGCAACCGGCGCGCGCCGCGCAGGAGTGACGATTGTTCCTTTAGGGACGGAAGATGGCGGACGACGAGGCTTTCTTCGAGTCGGCTCTTGCGGTGATGGAGAAATCTGAGAGAGAAAGAATGCGCGCGGAGAAGGAAGGTCGCGCCGGTGGTCTCGGGTTTGTTGAAATAGCTGCGCCATTCGGGACTTTAATATCGATCAAATATTGATTTTTAATTTAACGTCAATTTAACGTCACTTTCGAGTCGAACGATCGATCGTCGGCAGCGAGCGAAAACCGCGTCTCTTTGTTTGCTCGTGACATATCGACTCTGTGATTATTGACGTAAGTTGTATACTCATTCATCTGCAGCATTATTATCGCGATATTACAAACATTCGTTTGACTTTTGGCAACGTTCTTCTCTCCGCAGTTTTTTCTTACGATGAGAGGTCTGCACCTTCCGTGCGATTAAATCTGTGATTCCGCGCTGGTAACGACTCATCTCTCTCGAACGCGTGAAATCACCGATGGATTCGACGGACCCCAAGTCGTTAATAGGACTTACAACGGCGACGATCTGAGACCTCGATGCGCAAACATTGTGTCCTCGATACGATCGGTGCACAGCCGGGGAAGAACGTTTACGCGAATTCGAGCCTAATGACGATCGAATGATTCCGAGGGATCCTCAGGCTCGAGGCTTTCGCACACAGTGTTCCGCGAGATGTTTGCGGGATCCTCGCTTACCAGTGGTGGATCGTGATAATTTCTAGGATAAACAGAACTATTGTCCCCGACACCGCATCTTTTGTCGGCCGTTTAGGGGATCCCGGAAGTTCCCTTGCATACATCGTCGATCAACGTCGCGCCGCTCGCCGTGATAAATGATCCCCCGACCGTTGAAGATCCCCGGACCCATCTCTCTCTCTCTCTCTCTCTCTCTCAGTTCTTTCCCTCCTGTTTCAAGATCCTACAAATTTTTCCGTCGTCGGCCAAGCCGCGCGCGCGCGCGCGCGCCTAATTCAATTTCCCCGAGTCGAGTCACCGTCGATCTAACGTCGGTCGCTTCTTGTTAGCGGCGCGACGACTCCCCTCCTCGTCGGAATAACTGTCAATTTCTTCTCTTAACTGAAATTTCTACAATGGATTCGCAGACTGCGCGCGTACAGAATGTCCTTTTCTTGTCGTCGGTGTCTTTCCCTTCCATCCCAGCCAGTCTTCCTATTCGTTATTTGGTCGCGTCATCGTCGCGCTTCGTACGCTCGGCACGTTCAACCGTCGACGAGCGGATAACTCGCCCGGTTGTCGCGATTCATCGTCGCGCCATTTGTCACGGATACTAAATCTGATCTCAGTATCTCGCGCGATAGGCGATAAAATATAATTTCGTTCACGGAACGTCGATCGACGTGGTCGAAAAAGTCTCTCTCTCTCTCTCTGGCTGATATCTGGCTCACGGGAGATAATTACTCATTACGCGAGCGCCTCGCGACCCTCATTCCTTATGAGTCGTCATTTCGCACGAGATATCTTTCCTCGAGCGACGTTCTTCCGTCAACAAAAACCGGTATATACGTATGAACGAGCCGCTCGCGGCTTTCGCCGCAGCAGCGACGCATCCTCTCTCTCTCTCTCTCTCTCTCTCTCTCTCTCTCTCTCTCTCTCTCTCTCTCTCTCTCTCTCTCTCTCTCTCGCATCTCAGCGGCCCCTCGTCCGCGGCTTTCCTACGGAATGGGAGTTTTCTCATGGCGACTTCCCGGTTCGTTTGCGGAGAAATTTCGCGTTCAATTAGACCGTTTCGCGCCGTCTCTCTCGAGAGACGTGTCCGTGTTCGAGAGGCGACGGCAAAGAAGCCACCGAGGAAACACGTGTCGCACTCGTATGAATGCTCGCTCTGTCCTCACGCCTGTTACCCCCCCGCCCTCCTGCCCCCCCTCCCTGCCGCGCGTCTCGCGCGGATTCTCGTGCACCCCATCATCTCGCACGCCGGCTCTCTCACTCCGCTTTCTTCCTTGACGTTTTTGTCTTATCAACGTAACGCGTGAACACAAAGGACGATAAAGAAGAGAGAAGAGAGAAGAGAGGAGCCGTCGACGCGCGGCGACGACGTTGTGAAAGAGTGCGCACGCGATGAGCGAGTAGAATTTCCGTGCGTGCCCGTAGATTAACGCGCGAGGGAAAATTGTGATAAGAAAAATACAAGAACGTAACGCTCGAGAGGTTGGAGTTTTAAATTGATACGGCGATAAGGATACGCGATGCGCGCTCTCTTTCTCCCTCCGCGCCATTTAGTCGTCACGGTGTCGACATAAATTTCCATGTTGACGCACGACTTTGTTTGATGTAACTTCTTTCGTTACCAGTCATTGACTGGTAATCTATATTTCCCTCAGCCGCCATTGTGAAGCGACGCTTGGAAATCGACAATAGCCTTTGTCATCCGACGACCAACATGGCGAAGGTTTGCATCCTGTTTGAGAAATTTCCATTGCCGCGTGTATCGTCGAGAAATGTGTCTGAAGCCGTAGATGAAATGCTCGCTCAAAGGTAACTCACACGTAGCTCACTCTTCTTCGAGTGACAGGAAGAAAGGGGCAACGGCAGGGGGGAGGGGAGGAGAGATGTAAATATTACATATTCGCCGCTGCGACGGACATTTTCATTAAACGCCGGCACTGGCCGGCCGAAACTGAGCGAGACTCTCGGAATCGAGGTCGCTTTCCGATCGGAATAATTACGCGTCGCTGGGCCTCGCGAGGCTCGCGTGGCCGCTCGCGAGGCTTAAATCGAAGTCAGACGAAAAATTATACATTCGGATCTGTTTATTTGTACGAAGCGGACTTAGAATAAGCGGGCCCGGGCCACGACGGGCGGCGAAAGCATGTAGAGAAAAAAAAAAAGAAAAGAAAAAAAAAAGGAAAGAAAGACCTCGGCAAGTAAAACAGGATGCTACCGAGGGAACGAATCTTCGTGGCGCAAGGTGTCTCACGAAGAAAGGCCGCAAAGTCATGCCTGTGCGCGCGTCCGAAATGCGCACAAAAAGCTTATGGGCGCGGTGCCGCATTGTCCGGCGTCGTGAGGGGGATGCAAAGACAGGGGTGAAAGGGTTTAGAGAGAGAGAGAGAGAGAGAGAGAGAGGGAGGGAGGGAGGAAGGACGGCAGGGGCAAGGGGGAGGTGGGGGGGAGGGAGGGAAGGGCGAAGCGCGATGTAAAGAGCGAGATAATAATAAATGACTCGCACGAAGACGAATGCTTGATTTACATGAGAAGATCGATGGCCTCGAGAGGAAGGGGATGTATGCGTGTACCCCGCGCTTCTCTCGGCCAGTTCGCGCCGGCGACCCCTCCTCGCATATTTATTTTCGCAGCGGAAACGCGCCATCGACGATGCGTTTCGGACGGAAATATCGCGTGGGTAAAGGACGGATGATCGCAAAGAGGAGGAAGACGCGGACGCGAGCGCGAGTCGAATTTCAGTCTCGAGATGCGCGGCGTACTCAAGAGAGCACTCGTCGTCGATCGAAAGCACCGTTCGGCGGGGGAGAGGGGAGGAGGAGATCGTCTCGGGGAAATGGGTTGCTGAAACAACAAGCGGAATAACGCGGTTAGCAGTTCAGCGATTGCGTCCGAGAGACTAATTGAATACGACTCCGCGATACGAAGCTGGCCGAGCGAGAGGGAGCGTTTAGCCGCGCTGAGAAGGAGCGGAGAGCGATCTGGCCAAACGGCAAAATTGCCCCGCGTCACGAACGGCGAGCGAACGACCTCCCTGTGAAACTTCAGCTATCATCACGGCGAGTAAGTCCGAGCGAGAGCCACTCTTTCTGCGATAAAAAGCGCCTCCCCTCCTACGCGTCGCTAACGGGTCTACTTTGTAATTACCGCTAACGAACTGTTTGTTGCGCCACATGAGACAATGCAAGCTACTTCTGCAGGTACGTGCGCACGCGTGCGCGCACGCTCGCGCGAACGGCTTGTTGCATCGTCGAATTATTGATTGAATCTCGACGAGCGCGAGACCGAGAGAGACATGGCAACGACATCGAGGGGGGTTGACAGATTGTGGATCGATCGGACATCGGTCTTTGGCAGAACGTACTTTTGCAATCGCGGATAACAACACCTCGCCCCTCGAGAGCATTTTATCAAAACAAACAACACGTCCTCGGGCCGATCGTACGCGCTCTCTACCGCGCCTGCGACAAGTTGCAGCAGGCGAGAGAGCAGGCTCTCTCTCTCTCTCTCCCTCCCTCTCGTCGAGGATTCAAACAATCGCGAGCGATGATTCTGACGTAACGACGAGACTCGCCACTCCACATCCATCTCACGCGAAATGGCGACTTTCCGGAAAGTCGCACATTCGCGCGAAGAAGCTGTGAATCAATCACGACGGAGTGAACCGCAACGCGGTATTGTTACACGACGGCGGCGCTCGCCTCGGAAAGCATTCGCGACGGGCAGGTGCATTCGGCATGGCGAGTGCTGTTCTACGCCACTGGACTGCACACGCGCGCATAGACGCAGGATGACCGACAGAAAGCACCATCACACTCCGCTGGCGACGCTCGACGTCGCAACGGTGGTACACATGTGTGCAAATTCCGGTAGCGCGCACGGTAACGGTGACCGTTTTTCCGCCGCAGTTCCCGGCTTCGCCTTCCGCCGTCCGCCGCGGTCGTGCGCGTTCTCGCACGCCGACACGGCCTCTCCGCTTCAGCGTCGCTTCCTGGTTCCTCGCGAGACCGGAAGCCACGCGACAAGCCGCCCTCCTCTCTCGGTCCACCGCTCGCGCGCTCTCTGTCCCGCTCCTCTCCGCGCGGTGCGCCGCGCGTTACGGCTTTGTCGCTTTCACGTTTCGAGCGTTTCACCTAGCTTGCGCGCTCCGCCGCCGCGGCCGCGCACTTCCTTCCGCGTCCGATTCGCCGCTTTGGGGGTGCTTTACGAGCTCGAGTCGATAATGATCGCGCGGATCGACACCATCTTGATCCTGGACTCGGCGGGAGTGAGGGAGTGAACGCGGACTTGTGAGACATAGAGAGAGAGAGAGAGAGAGAGAGAGAGAGGAAGAGAACAACGGGACTCGCAAATACCGTAGAGGACTAATTCGTCTTCTCTCGTGTAATTTGACAAGCGTGATGACTTCGTAATGATTTCAACGGCGATGATGATTACGCAAATGTGCGATAATGTGCGCGCACATGTCGAGATATAAATATTTGAGAGCGTCGAGTATGCGAAAACATCGGACGCGATTAGGGACACGTAACCGCTTGAGCCGAGCTGGATAACGCTCGATTGCTCCCGAGGAAGCATAATCCCATTTCGCAATATTTCTCCCTTTATACGGCCGCGAATCTCATTATGCGGGGTTTACGGGCCAACCTCTTCATTTTTTCTGCTTCTTCATCGCGGCTCATCGCCAGCCGCCATGAAATCCTAATCTTCGCCTTAGCTGCGCGAAAGGGGTAAAGACTAAGGGGAAGAAAAATGAGGTCGGACGGTGCGGTCGGGCCGCGTGGAAAATTGAGGACATTCACTGGAATCGAAGGTGTTCCTGCCGATGATCCTCGCGAATAAATAATTCATGGCGCTTTCGAGAACGCGACGCGACCAGCTGGAGGGAGAAGGAGAAAAGAAAAAAAAACGTCCGTGGCGGGGTCGTCCTGTTTGGTCGTGATGACGTGCCGGGACTGACAGGAGGCAGAGGAGCGTGAAGGAATGAGGTGAAAAATGAACGACTGTTAAACAGGATCTCGTCTGTGTTGACCGAGCGCAACGGAAAAGAGCGGTTAGCAGAAAGGAAACGCGGAAGAGAGGCTCTGCTTTTTCTTCAAGTTCTCGCGGCGTTTCCCTCGGTACCTTCTCGATATTCTCGACCCCATGTCCTACCTCCCTCCCTCCCCTGTTGACTCGTGAGCCAAATCTTCCTGCCGCCAAATAGTCGGCTTTGCAGTTTTTTCTACCGACCTTTCCCCGCTCTTTACCCGCGTACATTGCAACATTGTGTAACGCACGCAGCCTTCGGACTCGACTCGGTTTCATCGGGCGTATCGAGAGCAAGTATCCTGATGATCCGGTCGATTCGGCAAATTGACGACGATTCAAAAGGGTCAGCACCCGGTAGGCAGAACCCGCTGCGGTGGCCCTCGTCCTATCTCTCCGAATCTAAAGGAACATACGGCTTCCTGTGTTTTATGCGACGCGGGCCAACCACGAACCGGGGGGGGGGGGGAGGGGGGCCGAAGTAAAAGGCGCAGCGATGCCGTGCATTAAATTGTTACCGCGCCGCTCATGAGATCCTCCGTCCTGCGGAGCTTGTACATATTCATAACTTGCCGCGCGTCGGAAATATTCGACGTGCCTGCCGACGTGAATGTACTCGCGTGCATCAAAGAAAAGGGCGGGAAATGTCGTGTGGAAAGTACGGTTTGATGATCAATGTACGCGCAAAAGAGGAAAGACGATCGAATCGATCTCGAGCCAGCGCACATCGCGTCGTCAGAATTTAACCGAATCCGCAGCACTGTAGCGATCAAGAGAGAAAAAGAAAGATGATACGCGACAAGGAATTTCTGCGCGAATTTCTTCTCGCGCCTCGTCGCTTCCATGTAAATTTTCATAATGAAGTAATAAAGTCAGCGGGACACGCCGGTGAATAGACGGACAACAATGCGCCATTCTTCGTAACGCCAGAATTAGTCCTCGAGAGGGAAATTACGCGCGGCGTTTCCTCGGCGTCTGGCCGGCAGGCGCGTTGCTTTTCTGCGGAAGGAGAGAGTTGCAGAGCGACGGCGACGCGTCATTGTTCTTCTGGCTGCAACTGCACGGCGATGTGTCGCTCGACGTACTTTCTTTTTCCCTGCTCGAAACGCCGAGATAAGAGGTTTGCACGTATGAGAAGTACGACAGGTTCCAGCCTAGTTTCTCGTCTATACGTTACGCTGACGCACTCACGCGAGATTCATGTACTTCGCCGCTCGTGTCTGTACACGAGAATGACAATTCCAATCGGCTCGCGCTCTCACACTGCGTACACGCAGTCTATCGATAACGAACGAGCGAGAAAAACCGCAAAAGAATCGTGTCCCTCGTTACGCTTCAGTCTGGAGATTAAAGCGGCCGCGTCCGTCCAACGGACGGACTTTCGCGTTGCGTCTCGTGCAACAAGTCGTGATATGTTCGTCTGACGAGAAGCCCGACTAGAAATTTTGATCAGGTTCGCCCAACATTGATAAGGACCTGATAGAGTGAATGAAAGGTAAGTCCCAAGTAAGTCAGTCCTTATAATGTCCTGACGACAAATGAGTAAGGAAGACCTTTATAAGGTTACAATTGGATTGGGTCCGCATTAGGACCTTAATGTATCTAGACCAATCTAGTGTATGATATAATATTCGGTTCAGTTAATCAGGTCCTTGTCGGGGGTCTTATTCATTGTACCTGATATGATTTGCATGATCAAGTTTTAACGAAACACTTTTTCGGTGTCATTTCCAAATATAAAGAGATGTTTGCATTGAAAAGTCACTTCAGATCACTTGAATATATTTGTAAAATGCCACAGAAACTATCCTTTTTTTAGCAGTCAATAAATAGTTGTGAAATTAACGTGACGTTAATTTTGTGTTTCTTTTCCGAAACATTTTTTACAAGTATACTCGAGCGATCTAAAATATTATTTCATGCAAATATCTTTTTATCTGGAAGTGACATGAGAGAATTCTCAGCGTGTCATTTCTTCTTTCTAATGTCATCGTCCAATATAGCCGTGGCGAGTAATCAGGAGCCATAATTAGAAAAGAAGAAAAAAAACGTAATAAGGTAACTCCATAAGGTAACTCAATAAGGACCTGACTATGAATCCTTACTTCAAGATCCTGATATCCACGCTGCGTTACTACGACTTACTAGGACCCGATACCTTATTGGGACCTGATTGGGTCCCAAAAAATGAGGTTAACCTAATCAGGACCATGGGATAAATTTCCAGTCGGGAGAGAGGAGAATTCAGAGAGTGTGGCCATGATGCGGGTCTAGGAACGGCGGTCGCTTTATTTATCAACTGTTCACACGCGACACGCCCGCTTTCTGGAACTTAATGAACCGTGAGACCGCGGACATGGCGGTCTTCTTTCGGAAAGTCCCTCGGCTTCGAGGGCGCTCGATTGGTGCTCGAGAGGCGGCAACTTCGTGAGCGCGCGAACACGCCAATTCCCCGCTGGTGAGTTTCCCAGGAAGCTGCTCCTTCGAGCGGAGATTTAAATTTACATAGAGAGTCGCGCGAACAGATGTCGCGGAGCGTAAGTAGGACGCTTGACAGCCTGTATCAGTATTAACGCACTCCATCACACCGCAACACGCTAGAATGATTAGAGAGACTAGACAGCTTTGATTTGATAAGCTTTGCGACTCACTTGAAAGTCGATATACGTTGCAAAGTTCAACTGCAACTGATCGTCGAGCAAGCAATTCAACGATGTACTTTCCTACATTGAGCAACGTGCCACTTTTAATCACAATGCTTTTACACAATTTAATTACAATTGCTTAATTAAGATTTACGTTTCAATGACATAATCGTCGGCACAATCGACGCGCTCGGTTGCTCGAGAATGGTGAGGGGAAAAAGAAAACGAATTGAAGCGGCCACTTTGCGAGGTTCACCGATGACTCACGTGCACCTTCGTAACGCGTTCGTAGAAAAGTCTCACAGCGTCGGGAGCTTTGTCGACATAAACGGCTAGGATGACCATGAATTCATAGTGACTCACACCCGCGTGAAAATCTTCAAGCGGTTGAAGAACTCGCCACATCGTTTGTAGCATCCGCGAGATCCGCGACATCGCGCTAAGCTAAAGCGTATACCGTACAGCTCGCGCGCGCGCGCGCGCGGGACGTTAATCGTCGTCACTTGAACGTTACGTAGACCGTTCGGATAGAAAATTAAGAGAAATGCTCGGGACAGTGTCCGACATTGTGAAAACTGCCGCCGGCACTGCACTTAGTGATTCTGCGCTTCTAATCGCCGCGAGGGATCGCACGCGGCGCTATCTGGTATCAAACGACGCGATAATTATACCCTCGATGATAGACAAGGCGAATTTCGTCCCGCGCGAACATGGCGACGCGCTTTCACTCCGATAATGCATCGTGAGATTTTTACGCAGCATCTCAGGAGAAAGAAGAAAGATACAGAGAGAGAGAGAGAGAGAGAGAGAGAGAGAGAGAGAGAGAGAGAGAGAGAGAAAGGGGGGAGGGGGAAGGGGAAAGAGAACGAGAGAGCCGTATAATAAATGTAAACGTCGCTTCACTCGGCGCTTTCCATGCGCGAAACCTCGCCGTAGCCCGGAGTTCCTGCGGAGACCGCGCGGTCGTGTACGTCACGACCGACATGTCAGGTTCGCGTGACGCATCCCCCGATGGGTCTAATTCGGCGTACATCGCGTAAACTCGCGATGAACGCTCCAGGCTGAACGCGCGAGAGCGGCGACTGCTGCCCTGCCGTCGCGTCGGTCGGTTCTCGTCGTCGGCCATTTTACCGTTTTGAGAATCCACTCTGTAATGCGCATCATTTGACGCCATTACGGGGAACGAGCCTGACGATCCTTTCTCGGTCCTACAGCAATTTCTCGGACTAATTTACCGCGGGATTAGACTCCCCATTGTTGTCCGCCGCCGGCGACGACATCGGTCGAGAAAGCGAGACGGGCGGGGTTGCTCAACACACGCAAGAACACGCGTTCACACCCCGCGAGAGGAAACAAAGGGTTAATCGAATCGAAAGAATCGCTCGGACGAGTCAGGACTTGTTCGTCTCGGACTCGTAGGGGAGGGGGGAGGGCGAGAGAGTGTCGTAGGTCATTTGGTATGTTACGACACGAATTACGTTCGGCCGGCCGTCGACGAAGCCCACCTACGCAGGAATGCAGGTGAAGGACCTCGCGGCGAAGCGTAAACGCTGATGCGTTTTTATTACTATCGATTGAAGGTATACCAGGCATTCCGACGCAGTCGTGTGTCCTTACGATAATGTCGTTCGCTGCTCGTAAACGTTATTCAACGGCCCACGGCCGCGCGCGAGAAAAATCTTTAAAAGGGCTGCTAATGCACGCGCGACTAACGATTGGACTCTCTCCACACCGGACGCGATTCAGGTACCCGCGGAATGTCCGGAATCCAGCACGTCGAATTCCAACGAAGCGGATTCGACCGGTGGAAGCTTAATAAACGACGTGGTCGATGGTTAATTAGTGTTTTCTAATTACGGAGGATACATGGCATATTTCGTACGTCATGCGCCGACGAGGCCGACTGTTTCCTCGCCGCGAGCGGAATTCAATATCGGCCAAGTCCTCGCCAAGTCTCGACGGCGCGACGGCGGCCGGGCGGCTGAGCTGATTCGGATTGCCTCGGGGACGCCGTAAGATCGAAGAACGAAGGCGACGACTGGCGTCGCAGAAGGGGGAGATGGTCTATACCGGGGCAAGATCTATTTCCATCCCGGACTCCGGTGAAAATAGCCGTCCGAGTGCCGCGATGAGAAACGTAGGCGTTGTTTGACGCTGTTTTCACTCGATGGCCGCTCAAGCAAATCGAGGAGACGCGACGAGAGGTAACCACGGGGTGATGCCACCCCACGCACCACCCACGCCTCTCGATCGGATGACGTCAGTCTCTCTCTTCTTCTCCGCCGACGCGTTACCCTTACGAGACGTACCTCGCGCCTTTCCACGCGAGATTTTCTCCACGTTGCGCGGAGATGATGTCACGTGTCGTAAATTACGCGTTGTAATGAGCGCTCCTGGTGCAGATCCCTTGGATGCGGATGCGTGTGTGAATATATTTGAAGGGACCATTTTTCGGGTCGAACGACGAGACACCGTCGGTGAGGCGTTCGTGGCGTACACGAAGTCACGCCGAGAGAGCCATCGGGTGGTAATTCGGGACGGACAATCGCGCGAAAGAGCGAAGTCGTGAGGCGAGAAATTGTGGAAGTCGGGCCTCGCGCGACGCACAATCGTGTGAACGCCCGATTTTGTGGTAAAGGTTGATATCGTTGGTAACAAGAATCGCGTACGATATAAACGACACTTGTTATCTGGGAGGATCATTAATGATGTAAAAAAAATATACAGAGTGGGATTTTTCAAGTGACACGTATTAATTATTCTGCAACTGTTGAAGGCAGCGACTTGGATTATTTTTTATAATTAAACGTCACATAAGGGCAAACATTATTCTATCAAGATTCTATCTTCGAGTCACATTTTTCGAAATTTAAAGATCACCGACATTTTAAGTGGGAACCTCTGAGGAATTCTCAGCCCGTATATTTTGTGTCTCGCTTTGTCGATGGCGTACAATCTTCAGAAAGAAATTTTGGACGATCTGCTATTATCAGCGCTTTGATTTTTGGGAGCACAGCTCAATCTGTGCAAACAGATAATGCTTAAAGTACAAATTAATGTTTAAAGTATACATGGCAAATAATAATATATCGTATACTAAAACATTTTTGTGAACTACTTTGGGTAATTTAAAGGCTGATGCGAATAAATTGCAGAAGACGGCATGTCAAGCATACTAAAGACACAAGTAGGTAAAAATAAAGAATTTTTATCTGCTTGTATTGCGCAGTCAGGGCGACATTTAAGTTATAAGAAATTGTTCCTTGCATATTCTTCTTGGTATTACAATAATTCTTACTAGACTGGATTTGAACGAATTAGAAAAATTGATTCTTTTCCAGGTTTTTCTCACGATGATTTTAGACCACTGTGCGACGCTCGCGCGCGAGAGAGCTCTTCGTGGCGTTCCGAGCACGCGCAATTTCTCGCGAGCCCCGATGAAATATTCATCAGGCTGATAAACGTCGATAGCGGCTGAGATACGCCGCGATATCATACACGCCAAGGCTTTTATTCTCGATCGCGCTCATCAATACCGATCGTGCGACACCGATACTGCTAATTGTCGGCGATCGAAGAGACGGCCGCGTTCTTCCGTCAAGTCTGTTACAAACGTTCGATAACGAACGACGTGATTCATCGGTGGCCCCGGACTTAATCTTCGCGACGGCGCGGCGATATCAAAAGGCGCCGAGAACGCCATTTATATGGTGTGTGCGATATGGCGTGCGCGTATTGCGTCGCGAACGAAAGTTCATCGACAGAGAGAGAGAGAGAGAGAGAGAGAGAGAGAGAGAGAGAACTCTCGTATCTAAATATATCGCGCCGCGCCTGCCGGTGATCGAATTACGACGCGTTAATTAAGTCAATTACGGCGGACGACTGAGCCGATCTTCACGTTTGGTTTTTTCGCAATTTCGATTTCAGGCGAGCTGTACGTGGAGGATCTGGGCGAGCGGCGGACAGTTTCCATCAGGATGGGTTGGCTGTGGGTCGAGAGCACCCCGATGCGACTACCACTGAGGGCGTTGAACCTCCGTCAAGCAACGTCGAGTCTCTGTCAGCCGCACGCGCTCGCTCTAGGATTCACCCTGAGCAACTCGCAGGGTCGTTCGCTCGCCACCTTCTGGGTAATTATTCTAGCCTAATTAAGACTCGCGCGTCAGCCTGCGTCCCTTTCTCTCTGTCGCAACTAGAGTTTCCAATCCCGGATACAATTTAGGATCCCGGGATTTCGGGATTTTTTCGATTCCATCCCGGGATCCCGGGATTATATAAATATTTACAAATAATAGAATTATTTTATTTATAGAACGTTCGTAGACTTTTATGAACATTATGACAAACAAAAAATAAAATTTCAGCGAAAATGAAAGCAACTTCCGTTAATGATTGCACAAAAACCGTTATAATTAAAAATTAAAATTTTTGTAACAAAAATAAAAATAATTATTTCTTCCCTTTCACATTTGAGAAAGCGACTTCGAGCAATCCTGGATTTGAGTCTGTGTTGCGCCAGTTTATCCGCGAAATTTAAAATAGAAAACCCCCTTAATATCTAAAATAAAAATAAAAATAACACATGGCATTAAATTTAAAATATAAATACACACTTCTCTAGCAAATGCTCTAAAATATTACAGTAATAAATGATAATTATCGAAGTAAAATTTTTGTAAAACGTAAATTTTGAAATCCCGAAATCCCGGGATTCGTGATGTTGAATCCCGAGTATTTTCGGGACCAGAAATTTGGCCGGGATCCCGGGATTGGAAACCCTAGTCGCAAACTCGTCGGAATGAAGTCGTGAGGTCTTTATCGAGAATTCTATGGCGCAGTGAAAAAAAATCGACTGTTGATCGATCGCTCGCTCGCTCGCTCGCTCGCCATCCCTGACCAACGCAACAACTTTCTTGAAGAGCCCGAAAAGTAGCCCTTGCGGAAGAGCGTTCGCGATTTGGCTCGGTTCCACGGGCCAGAGAGAACGGAGAGAGAACTGGCCGTTGTTCCTCGGCCGGCAACTGCGAGAAGGCGCGAGAGCAGTGAAGAGGCGCGAGAGGACGACGACAAGGCGGCACGGGGGGGGGGGGGAAGAAATAATATGCCGCACCACGCAATGTAATTGCATGTAAATGGCCTTTATCTCCGGCACGATCCGTTTCCTCGGCCGTAAACACTTTCACGTGCCGCGCGGACCGCCGGCTCCCGTTTCGCTGAACGCTGCAACTTCTAATTGCAACCCGCCAACGTCGCCGCCATTCGATTTCTAACGCGTTATACAATCCTCGTGAGCGAGCGAATCCTACGCTTCGAATCCGCGCGAATCTACCTGTCTCGAGCCGCACCAGCTACGTGTTTTCCCTAGAAATCCAGCCAAAATTCAAATCCGCGCGCAGATTTCTCCTCGCTTTGCATAGAAGCTGTCTTCGTCGTCGTCATCCGTAATGCTCGCCACTTTCAGATCGCGCGAAGACGTTCTCGAAACTCGTTTTGCGAGTTTCGCCCTGGCGTAGTATTTTCACCGCGTCCTTTTTCTCTATCTCTCTCTCTCTCTCTCTCTCTCTCTCTCTCTCTCTCTCTCTCTCTCCCCCTCTCTTTCTCTCTCGTTACTCGCGGAATAATCCAATTAGAGCTCTCTTCGCGGCGATCTCCCTAGACTCGATGAGTGGCGCGCGCGCTCGCTCGCTCGACTAACCTTGACGAAACGCTTCGGTGTACGAGCGCGTGGGATAAGGCGCGTTCGAAACGTGATTTAAGCGCGCAAGACGTACAACAGCGGACATCCTTGCCAAGGCCGCGCGGATGTGTCCAGGTAGCGCGAAGGTGCGCGTCTTGTGACGTAACACAGCCGCTCATCGAATCACGAGATCTTAATAAGGCCAGTAGGCAAGGTCAACACACCCGCTTGCCGATCTGTTTGCCGTGATAAACGCGTGGGAGATCGTTGCACCGTTCTCCCATGACCCGCCATTGTCAAGGAGTCCCACACCACGTCGCGCTCCCGTAGCTCAGCAGTTCCTTCGTCTCTTCGTGTTTGGTCGCTCCAAGGACGCCGCGACTCGCCAGCGCACCCACCATATCCGTCAATCGGACGAGTCCCTCGGAGCTCGTCGTAATCGGACATTTTGCGATTTTACGAGTCGGCGTTCCACAGTACTTAACGATGCTAATTGAAGCAATTATGCGCAATAATGCGACAGAGAGATAGCGCAGCAAAGAAAGAAAAAGCAGAAAAAAGAAAAAAGAGAGAAGAGTGGGAAAGAATTCCATTGACGATCGTCGCGATCGCGATCGCATTACCGACTGCAAACTCGACTAGAATCCCCATAACCTTAAAAGCAGCCACGGAGGGCCGCTTTCGGTGCCGATTCCGCTGCGCGCCTCGAGCCGTTGCCTCCTCCGTCAGAGGTTGGCACCGCTGACGCAGCCTCGAGCAGAGACACGACGCGGCGCGGCCGGGTCCGTCGCGGTTTCCGATCGAAAGCGGCTTTTCCACATGTTGTTCTGCGAAGCGGGCGGCCGGGCAACGTGCAACGGGCACAAACCTGTCGGCGAGCTTTTTTCCAGACACCCCGATATCGGCCAGTGTCATCGAACGCAGCCGTGCGCGGCGCACGAAGGTCACCTTTCGAGGCGACAGGGAGATTTGTTTCCGTCAAAGATGGTAATGATCGACGCCGTCGGTGGTTAACGAGTAAATTCCACGGTGTCGCAGGCCGGTGTCTCGTTCGCACTCGAGCGAACCGCCGGCGACTTTCGAATCGCCAGCGAAATCATGTGTCACGGCCGATCCTGCGGGTAGACAGACCCGTTCGACTACTCGATGTAGCATCCCGAGCGCGAGCGAGAGAGTATATAATTCGAGTGCACACAAGCACGTCGACGACGTTGCCGACGTTGTGGTCCTGCATACTCCTCCCCGCCTATATATCAAACCGTCTATCGAGCCTGCCTATCGAAAAGAAACTTGCGCGACTCTCCGGGGTTATCGATCAAATTATATTTAATCGTCCCGATTTCCATTCGTATCCGTCACATCCGTCGGCACGCACAGCCCTTAGGCCCGTGACATTTCCCCGAGGGGGAAATTCGCACTCAGCCTTATAAACTCGGTGAGACCGGCGACGACGGCGATCGATATCGTCTATCGAAAGCGTCTCTCGTTATCGGAGCGAACAGGGACCGGACGAAAGACAATCCGACGACGAAGAGATCCGCGATGCTCTTCTGTCCGCCGCGCCGGCCGAAAGAAAAAAGAACCGAAAACAGTCACTCGAATGTAGATTTTGCTGCGGAAGAGCTCGCTTGAGATAACCGATAACACTTGACCGAACGGAATTTCTCCAACGGCCAGTCTTACGACTCTTACGAATCGTGTTTTCGTCTGATAACCCTCCAGATAACAGATGCTGGTTACACAAACCGCATATTTCACGTGTTCACCGAAGGAAGTCAAATATATTCGTGAAGAGCGAGTGCCGTCGTCGTCGTCGTCTTCTTCGTCTTTCGTCCGACGTAGTTCGCGAGCTTACTTCGAATAGACGATGCTTTTCGCTGCGCGTGCTCGGTGGTCCGCGAAAGACCGCGTTCAACGTGTCTAATTAATTATCACTACCTAAACGGAACACGTCGATTGTTTTCTCTGTTCAGGCGGACACGGAACCGATTTATTGGTCTTGGGTCAGAGCGATAGCGGCCGAACTAGTCCGTCAAACGCCATTCCGCGCTCAACGATGCTTGAACTTCCTGGAGATACTGACTATCTGTCCGCGAGGTCCAATCCCCTTGCCGGAGAGCCCGACGGAAACGAGAAGACGATCGCGCAGTGAGCTGCGTTGCTGGCCGAGCGACTCGCCGGTGGAGAAGACGGCGATCACCAGCACGACGATACTGGACGACAGCAGGAGACGCGCGAAGAGCGAGCTGCGCTTACGCTGGTCCAGCAGCAACTCGAGCGACGAAGACCTCGGTGAATTTCGCAGCATACCCGCCATAATCAGCGCCAAGGAGCAACCGGTCGGCAGGATATGGGGTTGCAGCGAAAGCAGCGAGGGTAGCGACGACAGTCTGCCTTGGGGCGGTGGCGTGTGTCGATCCAGCGTGGACTCCGTGGACTCCAGCGTTCCCTTGTTGGAACCGGAGACGCGGGAACAGAGGATTCAGAGGTACAAGGAGGCACGTAGACGCGAGAACGAAGCGAGAAGCCGGCGGGTGCTCGAGGAGGACGCGAGACGGCGGCGAGCGCGAGCGGAAGAGAACAACAACAATCTGCCGAAGATCCTCGGCTCCTCCTCCGGCAGAACGAGGGTGAACAGAACGGCTTATACCACCAACGACAATGACGACCTTCAGCCGCGCTTGGCCAGGAAAGAGACATCATCCTCGACGCAGCCCGTCGACGTTCCGATAACGATAACGCGATACGAGAATTCGATCGTCGATAGGCTGCCGCCGGTTAAGCCGAGCGAGTCTGGCACGGTGAGATTTGAGGAGAACCATCGGAATGAGGACGACAAGCGTAACAACAATAGCCCGAAGAACAATGGCCCGAACAACAACAGCAGTAGTGCCGGGATATTCCGGTCGGAAATCTGCGAGAGGAGAAGCCGCGCCAGAGAGCGAAGGATCGTTCGCGACAAGGGTCAACAGTTGCCGCAACTGCAACTGCAACTGCAACAACAGAGCCAACAGTTCATCAGCGTCACGAATGTGGAGACCCTGCGAGAACGCAAAGAGCGTCTGGCGCTTTTGTCCTCCAGGATCCCCGTACCTCGCCAGACGTCACAGTCCTGCCCGAGGTCCGTGTCGTCGGATCACCCTCTGACTGCTTCTCCGAAGTCACCGGGTTCTCCGTCGACCTCGGCGGTGCCGCCCTGCGAAGAGGACGTCGCCAAGCTTCTAGAACGATGCCAGAGGGTGGACCACTATGTGCCAGTGCGGGAGAAACTCACCCTGTTCGAGTCTCTCTCAAGGCTAGGCGGACGTCTAGCCAGGAGCACGGAGGATCTCGGTCGAACGTCTTCCAAGCCCAGTCCCAGAGGCAAGCAACGCGCCAGGTCTCTTCATGATCTCAACCGCGGTGCCAGAGCCGTGCCCGTGAGGGAGATGTGTCGGTTCTTCGAGGGTGACGTGGAGCAGGAAGCGTGCCAGAAGGTGATGGCTATCACGAAGTCGCGATTTAGCGATCCACCCTCGAAGAACACGTGGAAGGAACCGAGCGCGAAGCACGAGGCGCCGTGCATCAGCGCTTCCAGCAGGAGGAGGCACTACTTCAAGTGATCACCGATACTGGATGGATCCGGACTCTTCTTCCAGGAGCATATAACACGAGCATTCGGGAGGAAGAAACTCACACTTGAGTTGAGCGAGACTTCTACAAACACGATGAGGTTCATTGTAGAATTATCGATCTTACATGTGCTTTGTCGTGTAAACTCCTATGAACCGACCAAATGTTTGCGATCTTAACAAATTTAGAATAACCAACCAATGTAACCGATAATACTTTCCAAACGACCGTGATACACAGTAAAAAATTAAATCGCCAATTTTTTACGTTCTAGAAAGTCTCTTCGAAAATTAATTCTATTAAAATCCTACTATAAATTCGACCTTGAACATTTGAAATAAAAATAATTCCTCTCGGTCGTCTGTCGCTTGTTGATAATCTAAAGATATAAATTAACTCGCGTGTATTCTTTTTCCATACTTGTTCCTAAATGTAGCTGTGAAAACACGATTAAAAAGAGAAATTTGTGCAAAATAAATTTTGTGAATATGAATTAATTCATCTTTTTGATTCGTCGACAAGTAACACATGACGAATGAATTGTTTCTTCTCCAAATTTACTGCGGACTGTCTAGTATACATAAAACTGACATTTTATTTTTTACAGTGTATAATAGTGTAGTTCCCCTGAATTTTTTCTAGGAGAAAAAATGAAGTTCCAAAAAGTCTGTTCTCTCTCGCGTTCGACTACAAAATTTCTTTTCCGATGCGTGAACGACAGGCCAGCCCCGGTCAACCCCGGTAAATGAAAAATACTCGTTAGGAAATTGTTGCCGGAGCGAGCGGGCCGCGCCGGAGGGCGGCGCGAGTTTCCGGGTCACAATGATCAATTATTTTCGACAGCGCTCGCGAATTCTGCTCTTTACGAGAGAGGCTGACGCTATCGAGCTATGCTTACCGAACGTTTAGATTAGAATCGACTCTGCCGATTGTGTCGCGAACGATCGTCACACTTGCGCCGAGAGAAAGCCGCCGCACACCGGCTTTTTTACACGCTCGAGGCTCCGAACTGTACTCGATTCTCTCGATTACCGGTTCGGTCTCGATCGACCATCAAAGCATCAAGAAAAAAAATACAGGCATGGATGCTCGCAATCGCGTTCACGCGCCTTACGAAAGTGAGAACGAGAGGAAACCGGTAAATCTGATCGCCGCAGAAATTTCCCACATTCGATCCAAGTTTCACCTCTATTAGTTACGCGAATGTCGTTTCGGGTCGTAGACAATCGCGTCTGCCGTATTTCAAAATACAAAGTAACAGTACAACGCCTCTATCGCACGATTGTGCGTATCAGCGAGATCGAGCGTGGCCGATCGTGACATGAAGGGAATAAGGAAAAGAGGGGAGGGAAGGAGGGAGGGAGGGAGGGAGTGAGTGAGCGAGCGAGCGAGAGAGAGAGAGAGAGGAGAAAGGGAGGGAAATAGAGTGAAAGAGCGGGCCGAAGAGAGAGAGAGAGAGAGAGAGAGAGAGAGGGGGGGAATCGGAGAAACCGGTAATTTACGTTCACCGAGCGATTGCTGTAATGTTGAACACCTGTATGTAAACTCTACGTAAGCCGGTCGTCGCGCTTAGTTTCTGATTAGCCTGAATTCGCTGTTGATCCGGATTTTGATCACACGATAGCCCAATCGTTGGCTGCCTAAAGAGACGTATTAGACGATGAGTCTCGCGTATGCGTGTTCACGCGCGTTTCCCCGATTATAATAATTGTAAGTGAAATTTGTACATAATTGATCAATCTTCTGTCTTGTACCTGAAATCGTTGATTCTATTATTTCTTGTTTTCTATCTTTTTTTTCCTCCTCTCGAACGAAATATAAGCGGCAGTAACAGTTTAATCATCGTTACGTGTGTCTCACTGCGATGGTATAACCAATGTCTCTAACTTGCGATTGATATGGTTTATAAATATTTGTGTATATGATGTATGTTCTTGTTGAAAACATTCACACGAATGTTCTTTTGCCACCGGCTGGTGGCTGTCGTTAAAAACGATAGCGTTAAACGTCTTGAAAATCAGCACGTAGACTGGCGAGTCCACTTCCGGTTATTTCAAGTCAGAACGACAATCTTACAGAGTTCTTCCTCTCCTCACTCCTTTCTCCACAATTAACAACAGTGTGTTGTGAAATATGAATAACACGAGATCGAATAAAGGAAAAACTGAAGGATGTCAAATTTGCGTTCTTCTACGATATACATGTCAATGCGGAGAAAAAAGATTGATACGATATCTCGCTATGTAAGATAGCCTTTCAGAGAAAGGAGAGAGGGAGAGAGAGAGAGAGAGAGAGAGAGAGAGTCCGCATTGTTCGAATCGAATTTTCGATATCGCAGGAAAGAGTAACGTCACACGTTGTTTGTTGAGAGATCGTTGTGCATTTTGCAAAATTATTGTCGTTATCAAGCTTATACTCGGAATGTAGATTGACGCGCAGCCGGGACTTGGAAAATAATTTGTACAGTTAATTAAATTTTCCCGTCGAGACGTCTTTCTCTCGCGCTCGAGGATCGCTCCTTATTTTTGTATCTCGTTTGTTGTAAAGTGTATGATCTGCGTTTTCTCTTACGTTACATTTGTATAGATTTGTGAATTTGCGAGCGAGATCGAGATGTAATTACGTTGTTAGAGGAAAAAGAAAGAAATGTCTGGAGGCAGATATTATTCACGACGGAGCGATCGGGAATGCCAATGCGACGACACTTGCGTGAATCGCGTCGTTTGTACACAGGTTGCTTTGTCGAGGGTACTCCGGAGCTCTGACAACGAAATTCTCATCGTCAACAAGTTTCTCGCTCGAACGGCCGACGAGAAGATTAATTTCGTCCCGTTCATTGTTATTCGTTAAGTTTGTAAAATTATTTCTTACATGCAACGCGCGAAGGAACTCCAACGTACCGCTAACCCGATCGCAAAGTCTATTGCAAAGTCGACGACCGTCTACAGGATGCTTCGGATGAAACCGTTATCCTTGTCGTGTATCTGGCAGACGGATTCACGCGAAACGATGTCATTTGTCGACGCCACTTGTATGAAAGGTCGCTCGCCAAAGAGGTCTTCTAGTCCCTCGTCGGATAATTCCGAAAAGGTCATCCCTCCCCCCCTCCCGTGTACGTGTATAATTACCCCCTTGATATACTCTGATTTTTAACTTTCCCCAAAACCGCCCTCCCCCCCCCCCCCCCGCCCACGAATATAATTGTCAAACGGACACGAAACGCGCATCGTCCGCGGCGCAGTTTCGCGGCGAAAGTCGCGCGCCTTTGTATTTACCTTTGTTGTAATAAAAAGGGACGAATAATGGCCGTTACATAAAAGCGATTGTGTCGTTAGAAAGCCGACGGGGGCCTTGACGGCCGCCGCCGCGGCTAACATTCCCGTACTGTTTATTTCCTCATAGTTATTCACGCGCGTACCTTTTTCAGCCGAACGCCCACGCGAATCGCCGTTTTCCTTCTCTCCCTTTTCCTATTCCCTCCCGACGCGACGCATTCCGTACGCGACGTAGATTTTCACGAGACGAGAGGAGAGAATTGAAAAGCTCGCGTGTCAACTGTCGATTGTGAAATTTCCGAAGGAACAGAAAGCTATTCGGTATCGATTAGGAGGACGCTACACTTCTTCTCGTACACAGCGAGAAATCGCAACGGTCTCAATGCCGATTTCATTTTTTTTCTTTTTTTAACAAACTAATGCGTCTCACCATTCTCCGTTCACTTTCGAGTTCTTTCCCTGCGTGCGCGCACGCGCATGCGAATCGCGTTAGTTCGTGAAAAATCCTGCCGCTAATTATCCAGTTTTCGCAAGATCAGACTACAGGATTGCGCGATTCTCACATACGCGAGCGATATACGCGGTGGCGTTTTCCAGATGATACGTCAGAAATTCATGAGCCACGATTGTTACGCGAGCTCCCGGGAAACTAAAGCCACCTTTCGCGCGTACACGAGCCTGTCTGTGTTTTGCAACGGGAAACGAAAACCAGCGAGCGGCTGAACGAGCGAGCGAACGAACGAACAAGGAAATGCGGAAGGTTCGTCGGCTAAAAATATAGCTAAATGTCGTTCGAGTTGACACGCCGTTGTCGAACCGAGATTTTGGACTTTGCGAGCGGCAAGTTCCTTCTCAGGAGTTCGTTTTCACTAATATGCGCTGGCGTGCATTCGCGATCCGCGCGATTTACATAACGGCCATCAGTGCCATGCGCGCCACTTCGATGTTTATTCATTCGGTTATTTACGTGCGAACTCGCTCGTGTGTTTATACTACCGCCCACCTCCTATACACGCACACGGAATACATGTGTGTAACGTTGTTTTTTTGTTCTTTTTCAACGCTGGCTCGCGTAAAAGTAGCAGCTGTCGCGATACGCGAAGAGGGCCGCGATCGAGAATTCGCATCGCGATGCGTTTACGATTGTTTCTCTTTTCTTTTTCTTGTTTTTAATCACTCGAATTCGTCGCGAAATCGCTGGAACGGCGCGAAATCGACGACCCCGTCGGTGGTCTTCGCCTAGCCTCTTGGACAAGAGTTGAAAATCACCGTTTTTTCAGTATTCTCATTCGGCGAGACCTCGCACGTGTGCGAAACCTCATTCGCGAACGTTTCCTCTCGACCTTATCGTATACTCGAGGAGCCATCGCGACGCGAACTTTCACTCGTTCGTTATAGCTGTCGAAACTACTTTTTAATTGAGATATATACGAACTTTTACAGCCTGCTTCGCATAAAAATCCACTTCAACTGTCGCGCCTCGTCCCGCTCACTCGGGGGGAAACCGCTCAGCGACAAATTAATATCAACTTTTCAACGTCCACCGAGCTACGGCGGCGGTGAAGCAAGCGACGGTAAAGAAGAGCGCGAAACAAAGACAGAGAGGCCTAGAAATATGTTTTAAACATGCTCGTTACACAACGTCGAAAACTTTTTTCCGGCTCGCCGCCGTCTAGTGTATGCGCGCGCCCAAGAGAGAAGACTCCTTTCATAATACGTCCCGTTCATCAGCTAGAAATCAACGACGATGCAGGAAGGCTTCTTTCCTCTCCGAGTAGCGAGCGAGTATTATGAGCTCGCGCGCGCGCGCGCGCGCGCCTAGCAAAAAGCAGCGACTTACCCGCGCCTCGCTGTTCGCTTTAATGTAACGTATTTATTACAATCTGCGCGTGCTGCGTAGTTACACGGACTGGAATCTATACGTAATACGTAGGTGCGGACACCTGCGCCACATCGCGATACGTTTCCAGCTCGTCGTCGCCCGTCGTCATTTATTTGGAGCGCACTTTAATGCACGCCGCGCAACGGCGTCGCTCATTAATCGCACCGCAACGCTTTTGAGAGTCCGGACAATTACGCGCGGAATTAGCAGCGGGCATGTAGCGCGGCGCATAGTGCGAGAGAGAGAGAGAGAGAGACAAAGTGAGGAAGAGAAAGACGGAGAGGAGGGAGAAGAAGGAGACGATTCCGCCGCTGCCGCCGCGCGTGCCTCTTCCTCGTCATTCGGCCAGGTGAATTCGATGATTTACCGCTGGCCGTGATGGCGGAGACTCCTTCCTCCTCCCGGTCTGCTTCGCTCGCGGCGAGGAAACGAAAGGCTGACGGAGATCACTATCGACGCGCGGAGAAACGAAAGGTTCAGCCGACTGATTAAAAGAATATGTCGGTCGCGCGAGAATGCGCGCACGTATAATGAAAGGTCAGCGCGAGTCGCCCCGCGTGTCGTCGTTGTGGTTTCAAGTTCGCGACGCGCGGAGAGCACCTCGGCTCGGCTCGGCTCGGCTCGGCGCGGATGGTATCAATGCCGGCGGAACATTTAAATGTCGCCGGTGATCTGAAGTAAACCTCGGGGAACGTCAGACGTCGATTTGTTTCCAATTTTTTATAGTTATTTTTTTATGTCGAAATATGAAGAAATCTGTTCGTCATTTTCAGCTTAAATTAATTCTGTCAATTTTTTTAGAAATTTTTCAAGTTTTGCACAAGTTTGCACTATTTTTTATACACCATTTGAAACAATACTTCTTAAAAATATATATATCTGATTTGTTGAAACTTGCACACGCACACACACACACATGTCGCCGATTATGAATCCGAACAATTTTGCAAAATTCCAAATGGCGGGTCTAGAAAATGGCTGAGACGTCATTGTTGAGAGAGTCTTCAGTTTTACGCTACATTCGACGTTGGGTAATCTTTCGGCTGCCTATCCAGCAAACAAGCTGACTTTAACGTCAAAATCTGGCAAAA